AGCGGACCCACTGGTCGTGCGACGCGTCGTAGCCTTTCCATCTGACGAGTAATTCAGCCGTTTATACCTCACCCTTGCGTCCAAGATTTCCTCTACTTCCCACTCCGGGACTCCGTCCTCGAGGTCCGGAGGGGGTTGGTCGTAGCCGGGGCGTCCGTCGAAGGGGTCGTCCTGGGCGAGCTCGAGCTTGACGACGGGGAAGACCGGGTGGAGCTTCGAGTAGCGCGGAGGGAGGTCGAGCTTGTAGGCACCTTTGCTGATCTCCGCGACTATCTTGAACGGTCCAAGGCGGCGATGGGAGAACTTTTCCGAGGGGCGAGTCGTCCTGATGTCAGAGGCATCCAGCCAAACACGGTCGCCAACCTTAAACTCCGGAGACGGAGTCCGTCTCCGGTCGTAGTAGCGCTTGTACTCCTCTTTGGCCTTAGTGAGCGCGGCCTTGGCTTCAGCAACACCAGTGGCGATCCGGTCGCGGAACTCGTTCACTGACTCCATGGCGGAACGGACTCCGGGTTCGAAGCCCATGCGGGGAGCCGGGCCGTGTCCGTCATGAAGGGGACCTGCTGCGTGGAGGAGTGAACGTGGTTGTTGTAGGCGAACTCCGCGGCCGGAATCAGCTCGTCCCAGTCGTCCTGCTGGTAGTTGGTGAAGATCCGCAAGTACTGCTCCAGCTCCTGGTTGACGCGCTCTGTCTGACCGTCTGTCTGCGGGTGGTACGCGGTGGACGTGGCGGGGCTTGATGCCGATTAGACGCCAAAGTTCTCGGGTGAAGTCCGCGATGAACTGCGAGCCGCGGTCGGAGACGTACTTCTCCGGAGTCCCATGGTGCCGCCAGACATTCCGGTAGTAGAGACGGGCTGCCCCTACTGCATCGACCGTCGTATGACACTCTGAGAAGTGGGCGCGCTTTCCGAGGGTGTCAACGACGACCATGATTGCGTCGTACCCATGGGCTTCGGGAAGCTCTACGATGAAGTCGACGGAGACAGTATGCCAGCGTTCGGGGCGTTTCCGTGGGGTGCAGTTCTCCGTGGGGCAGTCTCCGGAGTGCCTTGGTGCGACAGCACAAGTCACAGGTCGCAACATACCGGCCGATATGGCGAGACATCTGAGGCCACCAGTAGTTCCGGGAGACCAACTCCAGGGTCTTGAAACGACCTGCGTGTCCGGCGACTCGGGTGTCATGGCAGAGCTCGATGATGCGTCTCCGGAGGTCCTTGTCCTTTGGTACGACGATCTTTCCTCGGAAATGGAGAAGACCGCCGGAGACGGCCCATTCGTCAGAACGTGAGGAGCGGGGGCCTCGAGCTTGACCTTGAACCTTAAGAAGTTGCCGGGCCGCTAGTGCGACGGGCTCCTCCAGGTCAGGCTCACCGGAGAGGGCATCACGGATGTCGCGGAGGAGTTCAGAGCCGGGACCGGAACGGAAACGCCCTCGAGTGCGCGGGACGTGGAAGAGTTCAGGCCGCAGAAGGACGACGCCGGAATTGTCGGAATCGACTCCGTGGTCGGGTCTCCGGGAGAGGGCGTCAGGCCGACCCATATCGCGGCCAGGCTTGTGGTGCAGCGTGAAGTCGAACCGGGAGAGGTACAGGGACCACCGGGCCTGTCTCCGGTTGAGGTGCTGCGTCTTCCTGAAGTACTCCAAATTCTTATGGTCAGTCCAAATCTCGACAGGGTGCGCGGCGCCCTCGAGGAAGTGTCTATACTCCTCGAGTGCGCGGGATGATCGCGAGCATCTCCTTGTCGTGGATTTCGTAGTTGCGCTGGACATCATTTAAGCTTTTGGAATAGAATGCTACAGGGTGCCACTTCCCGTCCGGGGCGGATTGTGAAAGAACCGCCCCGTCGCATAATCAGAGCTGTCCGCCTCGAGTCGGAAAGGCCGTGCGTCGTCCGGAATCGCCAGGACCGGTTCCGAGGTGACCGCGTCCTTGATCGCTTGGAACGCGGAGGCCTCCGCGTCGCCCCAAGTCCATTGCTGGTCCTTCTTGGTGAGCACGAAGAGAGGGCGCGCAAGGGTCGAGAAGTCCCGAATGAACCTGCGGTAGAAGTTAGCGAACCCAAGGAACTGCTGAATGTCCTTCTTGTTTTCCGGAGTCGGCCAAGCGGAGACGCCTGCGACCTTGACGGGGTCCATTTCGACGTGGTTGTGGGAGATGATGACTCCGAGGTACTCGATTGACGATTTTTCAAAGTCGCACTTCTCCGCTCGAAGGTACAACTTGTGCTCCCGGAGTCGCCGTAAGACCTCCTGGACAATCTGCCGGTGTTTCCGGAGGTCGGAATGGGCGATCAAGATGTCGTCAAGGTAGATCATGACGTCTCCGGAGAGGATGAGGTCCTGGAAAATGTCATTCATCATCGTTTGGAACGTCACGGAGAGTTTGTCAGGCCGAAATACATCACCAAGGGCTCGAACAGGCCTCGGTTAGTCCGGAAAGCTGCTTTCCACTCGTCACCTTCCTTGATCCGGACGTTGTTAAAGCCCCAACGGACATCGAGTTTGGTGAAGTAACGAGCGCCTTTGAGCCGGTTGATGAGGTCGTTGATCAGCGGAAGGGGGTACCGGTTTTTGACAGTCATCGCATTGAGAGCACGGTAGTCCTGGACAAAGCGGAGTCCGCCGTCCTTCTTCTTGACGAAGAAGACCGGAGACGCCATCGGAGACTTGGAGGGGCGAATCCGGCCCGTCGAAAGCCCTTCCTCGATGAACGCGTCGAGCTCGCGTTGCTCGAGGGGCGAGATGGGGTACACCTTGCAGTTGGTGGGCTTAGCGTCGGGGACGAGTTCAATGGCGTGGTCCCAGGCTCTCCGCTCCGGTAGCGTGTCGAAGGACTCCTTGTTGAAGACGTCCTGGAACTCCTTAGCCCAGTCCGGGATCTCGGAGGGCGGAGGGGCGGAGTTCCTGGCGAAGGCTTCGGCCAGGCGTTGCGAGACAGTACTGCCCGCGCGTATCTCCTCCGAGGGGCGGAACGAGGTGTAGAAGATGCGGTCACCATCTTCAAGCTGACCATCGTCATCGTCGTCGTCGGAGTCCGGCGTCAGATCAGGCAGGCCGGAGTCGTCACCGGAGACGGAATCGTCTCCGTCATCAGACCCAGAAAGGTCCATGGCGCAGACCGAGGGGAACGGGCCGGGGCGGAGACGCTTCTGAAGCGACCGGAGTCGCCGCAACTCGGTCCGTTCGACCCGCTCTTCCTCACGGCAGGTCGAGCAATTGCGGGGGCACCGTGTCATCTTGACCTCCTTGGTTTCCCAATTGATCTCTGGGTTATGTTTCCGCAACCAGGAATACCCCAGGATGAGGTCTTGCTTGCCAAGATGGGTGACGGCCAGCTGAACTCGTTCGGCATGGCCCTTGTAGCGCAGGACCAAGTCCGCGATCTGTTTGATGGAGCCAGCGTCATTGGGGGTGCCATCGACATTGAAAACGGAATCGGCTGATCAAGAGTGCGGACCGGAATGCCATTCCGAGCAACATAGTTTGTGTCAATGAAGTCGGAGGTGGCACCACAGTCGACAAGCCCAGAGAGCGAGAGCTTCAGTGCGCTGGTGGTGGACTCGAGCTCTAACGGGAGGTGGAGGGAGTTCGCCCCAGGGGCAGCGGCAACGGTGTACTTCTTGGGCAGTTTCTTTTCCCAGGCAGTGAGGCGGCGGAGGACGATGACCGGAGTCGCGGGCGGAGTCGGAGACGGAGTCGAGGCGGGGGCAGGAGAGGGTGTGTCTTTCGTTTCGGGCTCATTGTAGGGCAAGGAACTGCATTCATCATACAAAGAGGCAAAACGATTTATAGACGCGAACGAGGGCACACCAGTCACTCGTCGCGGGGACAAAATCCTCTCCGGCCATCGACTCCGCTGCCGTCTCCGGCAGGGCAGCTGTGTCCGTGTAGCGGGCGATCAACTCCGCTAACATCTCGTCACCGAGTTGTTGGATCACCTCGTCGAGGATGTCCATCGAGCGGACATCGGCGGGGAGGGGGCAATCCCGGCGAGATGGTTTGGGTCGCCGCACCTGAAGCAGGCGCGACGAGGGGCACCCCGAGCCCTGGTGCGATCCAACTCCATAGGGACGGGAGCTGGAGGCGCCGGAGCGGGGGCGCGGGCCGCGGGTGGTACGACCGGAACCACCGGGCGGAAAGGGGCCGGAGCCGGGATGCGGTTGACCGGAAACGGAGTCCGAATCAAACCGCCAGGCGTCTTGGGGGCGGCTGACTTGATCAGCTTGGCCCGGACCAGGGCCTCATATTGACGGAAGGCCCGGGTGCGCCAGCTAAGGTAATCCCGGAGGTCCGGGGGGTCGTTCGAGGACGTGATTCCGTTGTTGATCAAGGGGTCAAGTCCGTGGCGGAACTTGGTCACCTTGACCAGCGCGTCTTCGAATCCGGCGAGGTCCATCAGGTCCTCGAAGTCGTCGGTGTACTGGTAGACATCCTTCGTGCCCATGTGATAGGCGGAAGTCTCCAGCTTGGAGAGAGCGTGATCTTGCTCGTTCTCCTCGACGAACCGGAGTCGAAACTCGGAAACGAACGAGCCCCAGGACGGAAACGGAAACGGGGCTTTGCTTCCGTGGCGCTCCGCCCATTGCTGAGCGGGTCCTTCTGCCATAAACGACATGGCATAGCGGACAGCCTTTTCCTCGCTCGCCTCTCCGTTGACCACGAAGGCCTCAGGGGCAAGGCGGGCGTAGGTGCGGACCGCGTGAGGAACGCGGCCGCGTTTCCGGTCGCCGTTGAAGGTGAACGGGGGGTTTGGTCGCAAGACCAATTTTGAGGCGAGGTTGATGTCGCCAAAAGGGGCTTCGAGTCGCCCTGGACCGGAGTCGGAGTCGGAATCGACGTCTCCGGCGATGGTGTTTGGGGTCCGCCAGCATTATTAGCGGCGGCAGCGGCAGCGGAAGCCTGGTTGGTGAGTAAAGCAAGGGCCTCAGTTAGGCTATCGATTTTCGCCTCGAGTGAGTCCAGCCGGGCGTCTGCGGTAGGAGTGACTCCGGACGGCATGACGGGTGCGGGGACCACAGGAGTAGAGGAGGAGGGGACAAGTGGCAGGGGCGGTGACGAGGGCGGAACGGACTCGTACTCCGAGCCTGAGTCAGCGCCGAACCTGGCAATCTTGTCCGGTTGATCCCGTAGAGAGTTTCTTCTGCTGTAAGGGCAACCCCGGAGGCCTGAGATCAAGGTCCTAGCAGGGGAGGATCCAAAGCGTGAACATTGGTAAGCGAATACAAATGAAGCTGACCTAGCAGGGGAGGATCCAAAGAGAAGAAACTCTAAGGGTCCGCCTGCTAGGTAGCTGACTATATACTGCTTGTCCGTAGCTGCCGCTGTCGGGCACAGAAGGCTTGGGCGGCGTCGCAGGCGAGGTCCCAGGGCGACCGTCGGGAGGGCGTTGACGGATCGGTGATTGTGCGGGCGAGATGGAGGGCCGGACCGGAGTCGGAACCGGAGTCGGACCGGAATCGGGCGCGTCTCCGGGCCGAAAGGGAGGTTCCCCTGACAGCAAGCATCTTCTCACCTTGCTCTCAATTATTGACACATTCAGTCGACGACCATCCTGAACTTCCTCAGCATATTCAAAAGTGCATCGATGAGAATGTCAAACAGGCCGACATCCCAGCAGAGCTGCTCCGGGAGCATAACATCAAGATTGGGTGTGTAACGAAGCAGATTTTCATTGGTGGCAACTGATTTGGGTCTAGACTGCGCAGTGTCGAACGTATTATTGACCGTTTCCAACTCAAAACCACACGCCATTCTGGTCTTTCGGAGCTCCAGAAGACCACAGCAGTACTGACGGTGACAGAAGAAGATCCGCTCGGTCGATGGGGAGCCCGAAAGGTGAAGGAAAAACTTGCAATGCAGGGTATTCATATGTCGCGGTGCGTCAATCTTCCTAGATCTTACACACTATCTTATATCATCTCCAGGCCTGCTATTACCACTGTTCGAAAAGCAGCGGACCCTGATGCCAACGATAAGCGACGACCAGATGCTCGCACCGTTCATAAAAGTGGTATCTTTTGTAGCGGCCCGAATGAAGAATGGTGCATGGACGGGCATGAGAAGATTCTTGATTGCATGGGTATTGGAATCTATGGGACAATTGACAAGTATGGACGATACGAGCTTCAGCTCAATGCGATGCGATCTGTGCGTCGTGCTGATATTCCTCCGGCACTATACCTCAGACTTGTCAAGGAGAAGGGAGGTGAGCTCAACCCAATCTTGTTTGGTCAATATCACTCAGTCAACTGGTTCTAGGAATTCCTATCCAGACGACGACAGATATGGGCAGCGAGACTGGTATTCTCGCAGCGCTGCAAACAACACTTCGGTGTGTGATATGATGTTGATTCTCTCGTATTGTACTTATGGCTTTTAGTCAGGCTGCATTTGAAGCCCTTCCACTTGACCAACTCCCCGCTCATCGTTCTGTCAAGAGCGTTTATAACATCACGCGTGAACGGAACTGGAGACCTCTGTGGGAGAAGGACCTTGCCAACATCAAATTTCAATATGAGAGCGGCAAGATTGGCGCAGGCTATCATCCACAAGATCCCGTCCACCAGTTCGTGCAACCTCGTCGTCACTTATATCCGATGTTAATTGATTTCAGGGAGATCGCAGTGTTTGTATGGGGTATGGCGGTACAACGTCGACTTGACGAATACAAGCGGGAAAATGCGCTGCATCGTGTTCGAAAGCAGAAGAATGTCCTTCTTCCAACTGGCGGCCGACATAAGGACTTTTATGAGCACCCGGAGCGCTGGGGCGGAAAGGACCAACTCATTCCTGTCGACATGGCTATTGTTAACAAGCTAATTGAAGAGCACACTCCACCAGACCTTTACCAGTTCACCAGCAACGCTGCCATGGAGGCCCTCTGCCAAGCCCTTTATTCAGCGGTCCAACAACCGGAGGTCAGCTCTCGAAATGCGTGGGCGGTGTTTACAGCAATGGTGAATGCGCTTCCCCAAGTTGTATAAGTAACCTTACATTGTCTTTATTCATCTCGTACTCCAAAACAACATATTGTGGCTTCTACTGCCTCTGATCTTAAGTAGCTTGCCATGTCTGCGAGAAGACCCTCCTGATCACGCGCCAGCACGACACCCTACCCCCTGCGCTACTGCCAACATATAGTGGTGGGCCTGCAATGCCGTCGGCGATGCCTACACTGGCGGGGCAGTAAGTAAGCGGGAAAGAACAAGGAAGATAGCAAAACACGCACCTAACATGCCCGCCGAGAGACGACCGGCCACGCGAGACAATTTGCGTGGTGTTGTGCGCCGATAGTTGCATCGTTCTAGCGCGCAAAACCAAGGGGGGTTCAAGATCCTTATCAGGCACATGGGGTAGGGGGGAGGGGGGGGGTCCCTGGGGGGTAAAAAAAACTTTTTGTATATAAAAGATTTGGGCCTTATATGGGTATAAAGACACTGAAAATATAGTGTATACCTTCTAATTTCTATAGTTCAGCACTCTCATTACTTATATCTATATACTTTCAGGCCCATGCACTTGGATAGCCCACTCTGTCAGAGGCCCATGCATCAGGTAATTGATGAGAGGTGAACATGTTGGAGGGTTAATATGGCCTTCCATGTGTGTGTTGGAAGGCTCTAGGTACATACATACCTACACATATACACATACACATGTATAAATTTTTTACAAAAAAAAGTTTCACAAAGATTGAATTTTTTATCCCACTTTTTGATCGCATCAGTGGTCACATGACGCTGATCGTGAGAATATATTACTATATATGGCAGGAGGGGGGGAGGGGGGGGTCCCGGGGGGGTCGGAAAAAAACTTTCCGACCCTATATCCGTGATTCGAACTTTGAACCCCCCTTGCGCAAAACCGTGACTGCCTTGTTGCTAGCATAAGGAAATCGCAGCTCTGGGTTGTTGATGGCAGGGGCAGCTGTTTCGGCGCGAATGACTCTTCGGCCCGCGTCAGCATCTGGCCATGGATGGGTACCGAAATGCGCCGCGCGCGAACGTTGAGTCCTGCATTAATGCACATGGAGGTCGTTGTCAAACCTAACGGTCAGCGGGGTGAGATTGGTTTGTGGATGAGCTTACAGGTGAGTTCAGTGCCGGGAGCAAGCGTTTGAAGGCAGACTCGTGAGCGGAAAGCGTAGGCGTCCTCAGCAGAAGTGCCGAATCGAGGAGAGCGGACGCTATGGGAAGATGACTGGGTTATTCTGGCGAGGCATGCAATGGCCGGCGCTGGCTTGTGACACCCGAGAGTCGCAAGACACAGCGTTCCCTCCTGATTCCGTTCATCTCCCGCGGAAGACGCCAGAATTCGCGCTTCGGAAGGCACAGTGGCGCTGCCTGTGGTTCGAATTGCAGGCAGAAGGAAGCGCGCCCGCCGCCCCGGCTGCCTACCACTACCATGCCTGGTAGCTGTGTGCATGCCTGGTATCAAGCTCGAGGGTCTGACCACAGGCTCATGGCAAATCCAAGGCAGTTTGATGGCTGCCCGGATTTTGCCCTAGTGGTCACGTGTTTTGGAAACTGGGGCAGAATCCGGGCAGAAGCATCACGTGCCAATCGCGCTGGCTGCCCGGGTGGGCGGGCTGCGAGCGGGCGGGCGGGCGGGGCCAAGCAAAGGGGAAAACTACGTCTACGCCTGGTTCGGGACTGTGTGAAAACTTTGAGTTCAGCGCGTGTTCGGTCTGGCGGGGTGGTGGTTGATAAAAAAGAAGCCCTGATAGGCATCCGGCATGCGGCGCCGAAGGCCGAGACGGGTTCCCACACAGCCTCAGGAAGTTTTTCTTCAGCTTTCTCACCGCGAACGCGTTTGTCTGGGTGAGACGGGGCTGGGGTAAAGCGTTGGGTCAGCGCGTCATGGGCGGCTCAACGACTTGTTGACATTCTTGCAGCGCAGCGGTTACGAGTATTAGAAGGGAACACAGACTTGTATAGGTAGTACAGATAGCATTACAGTGAATTACGAAAGTTGTCCAGTGCTTTCCTCCAAAGAGTCTTCAGGTGCTGTTGACTTACGTTGGATAACAGGCCGAGGCTTTGGGCGAGTAGAGGGCAGTCCCAAGTGGCGGCAGATAGCATTGCATTTGTGCTGCGCCTTGAAACCTATAATACCATCAGGGCCATTGTCACCCAAAGACCCAACGGAAAAATCGCTGAAAAAGAATTAGCGACAGATAGGCACCGGAAGGCGGAGGTACTTATGCGATTGCATGAAGCATAAGGTCAAACATAACGAGTTTGTCTGGCCCACGTTCATTGCCGACAAGTACAGGCTCTTTGATACCTTATAATAATGAATATGTCATATACAGAACAGAATCAAGCCACACCTTGTATATCGGCAAATACCATACTCTCGCCGGAGTCAAACAATGAAAAATGAGCAAATGCGTCACAAGTCTGGCCATAGAAATCCTCCTTGTTGGTCCCAGCCTGCTCGGTACCCGAATATTTGATGGTCGAGGTACTGCCAAGCAACGGGTCAACCAGGAAGGTTCGGCCTTCTGTTGGCCCTGAATCAACGCGGAGCAGAAAGGGCTGCGCAACCTCCAGGTCTACCAAACAATTAGTCCAAGAATGAACTGTATCAATCTAAGAACATACCTGCAATACGAGTAGTGTTGTCTGCGGCTGTGCTCTTGAAGCGCTCAAGCATGTCCGAGGCCAAGTACTGAACCTGGGCCTCATACAAAAGCAACTTGGCATTTTTTCTCCACCGACGGCTTTGCGCCATCACCAATATTATAGTACTCCTTTGCAGCGTAGCGACGACCATCGAGTTTGATCTACCATTTACCGTTGAAGATAGCAAATTAAACAAAGAGGAATATTGACAAACCTCCGACATTGATTTTGTCTTGCCCCGGATTTTTGATGGAAAGAGTTGGATTGTCGTGGTGTCCTCATCTTCGAACAGCTCAAGTCGAAGTTCAAGAGGGACACCATCACCGGAGCCATCGGCATCGACAGGAACTCGAACGAGTGAAATAGAAGACCGCTTGACTGTCAGCTCCTCTCCAGGAGGCGGTCGAGGCCGTGGTGGTGCAACAACAGAGCGGTAGTAGTTTGCACTAGCAGGTTGGAGCACGGGGCCTAATGAAGATGAAGATTTGTCAATGTTAGTCCGAGAATCACGCACGTTTGAAGGGTGGCTCCCCCTCAGAGTCAGAGTCAGGGCTTATATTGCGTGATTTGCGCTTGCTTCCAACAGACGCGGTGAGGTAGGAGCTGAGATTCTCCGTGTCCTACCGCTATTAGAATGAATAAGAAATGGTTGAATTTCAAGTACCTGTGAATTGATGCGCAATTTGAGGTTAAGGGAAAGCACACGAGCATCGCGATCCTTTTTGGCGATGGTTGGACCGGTGCTGTTAGCGAGTGTATACGAAATCAGTGGGACTGGGACTGGGCCAGTCCCACTGATAAGGTCGAGTCCCACTGATATGGTCCACATTCAGTGAGACTGGGGTGAGAGGCTGGACCCATGTCCGAGTCCCACTCATCAATTCGCGCCTGTGCCGTCTGATCCATTGATCATCACCCGGAGTCACGGTGCGAAAATGCAATCAATTCAAAATCTATCTACGTTTTCTGACTGGCATCTTATCTACCTTTACAATATCATCATCATATTCTCGCCCTAATGCGCGGCTTGAAGGACGACTGCGGCGCTTCCCCAACGGTGCTGACGATGCAACATTGGACGGCCCCGGGCCTGCTGTTGATGATGCCAGATTGGATGGGCCTGCTTCCGGGATCAACGACCGACGGCGTTTACGGCCAGGAATAGTGGCTGGCTGCACTGTTTCTACCAATTCCATTCGCTCTGGACTTGGAGAAGGAAGACTCGGCAGCTTTGGTGGCTCAAATACTATTGGCGGCCCATCTAGTACTCGGCTGTCGTCATTCCAAGTGGTCCGGCCTAAGTAGGCCCCCGCTCGAACGCCCAAGTCTGATGTATCCAGCTGATAGTACGGCTGCATATTGGCCATTTCATCAGGCTGGAGCGTCCTTGCCAACGGTCCAAACTTGCCGTGAATGTCACTGGCAATGTGTCAGCGTAGGCATCGAGTGGGTATAAAAAGACTGACAGTGTCGACTCGGATAGAGGTGAACTTGGCATCGCCAGGCTCCCAAAGCCGCGGCCTGTTTCTTCAAGCACGAGTTGTCCAGAGAGTGAGCCTGGCTGGCCAAATGACATGGAGTTGCTATAGAACGTCGCTTCATTGGCCTGGCTTGTCGACTCAAACGGACTTGGATTCATCTTGAAATACTCTGCCGACGGTCAGTACCTGTCGACGCATAGCACCAGACCAAATACCATCGACTGCTGCCTGCATTTCATCTGGATGCCAGTCAGATGTTAGGTAACTGGTCGTGAAAGTTGGGCACAAACCAGTCCAATATGCCTCGAATGAATCCTCGGTATTCGCACTGTTGCTCCAATGTCACACTAGGACTGGTTGTAAGGATGCAAGTGTCTCCATCAGGAAGCGACAGGCCGTCGGGTAGTCGACCATTATTCTCGAGCAGATATTTGACATCGCATTTTTCAACTTTAGCTGGGATGCGGAGACAAATATGCAAGTTTTTCTCCTGCACTGTCCATCCAGAGCAGCCGATGAACGCATCTTGTCCATCGACATTGCGTTCCTGGATAAAGTCAGCTATTGTGAAAGCGAAACAAATGGCCCACTGACATTCGCGTACGGAACAATAATTGGGTGCCCGTGGCAATTTTTGTTCTTGCACCGCTCAGTGAGAATTTGACCATAGAAACTGTGCTTTGTCAATTTTGGGCACAATCGACAAATGGATGGTATACCGAGCAAGGAGACGGACAAGAGAGTTTGCCTCGCGTTCATTGGCCTCGAGTTCACGCTTCCATAGATCTTGTCTTCCCTCTGGATCCGGCTCATATCTCTGGTGGTTACTCGATATTTCGGTGGGTACGAATTCGCAGGTCTTGATGCCATTGCACC